GATCGCCTGAACTATGTTGAGAGGCCAGTGGCGGTTTTGGATAGAAAGGAAAAGGCCTTAAGCAACAAGGTGGTATCTTTGGTCAAGGTCTAGTGGCATCATCGGAAGGGTTCCGAGTGGACCCGGGAACCCGATGCAAAGATAAGGGAGCATTATCCAGAATTGTTTGCAGCAACGGACTTCGAGAATGAACTCTGATTCAAGTGGAGGAGAATTTTAACATCCAAATTCTTGGAGGTATTTAAATTTAATGTATTTTGGATTTTTGGGCAGTACCACGTCGTGGTGAAGGCATCCTATGACGTGGTGATGGTCGATGTATCGCGAGTTTTAAATAACCGCCACGGCGTGGTGGCCTATGGCCACTGTGTGGCATCTGTTTAATGAGAAACCCTAATATCCGAGGTTTGTGCCCTATTTAATAGAATGTGATGGTTAGAGTTGCTCATCCTCAGCCTCCATCACACTCTCTCATTCTCCAAGCAAACCCTAATCTCCATTTTTGCTCTTTAAGCTTTTTGTGTTGTTTTTTGGGGATTAGAAGAAGAAGAAGGTGACTTTTAGACATGGATTCGGAAAGCAACTCTTCTCACCATCTTATTGTGCATCTTCTGTACCCTTGTAAGTCCCTAAGTTCCAAGATTTTTGGTTTTTTGTGCATAGATTTAGGTTTCTATGCCTTATTCTTCATGTCCTTGATTATTGGGTGGTGATATCGCATAAAGTTTGCAACATTAAGAATCTCCAGGTCATTTTGGGCCTTTGATACTTTGGATCTGGAGTAATATTAAGTTTTAGCATCATGCATGGAAGATTTGGCCAAAAACCCTCATTTTGACCTAATAGAGTCCAAGACATGCATGTCTAGAAAGTAAGGATTTTTATGTTGTTATTTGATTCTATAAACGTTATGGAAATGGGGATCTAGTAGTCTTCAAGAGATAGTGCTTAGTGGGCTAAGCTAAGTTAAGTTTTTGCCCTATTTAGATATAGAAATGGGATCTCTATTCCTTAGAGAGTCTAAAGGGATAAAGTTGGAAACTTTATCCACTTAGACCTTAGAATGAACCAGATTTGGGCCTTGGAGCCCTTAAGATCAAGGAAATCGACTTAATCCATTAAGTTGTTGGGAGCCCAGTGCCCACGGCGTGCCTTAGGTCTCCACAACGTGGCGGCTGGGTTGAGACTCGCCTGTTTTGTCATTTAGTGGCCATGACGTGGCCAAGGATGGCCACGGCGTGACGACCTGCTATAATTAACTTTGACTTTGACCAATTTTGAACCAAGGGTATTTTGGGTATTTTGAGTTGTATTTTAGATTGGTCACTATTTGATGAATAGGTGACGGGTAGATCTGATATTCGGAGAAGAGACATATTCAACAATTTGTTCGGAATGAGAGGTGAGTTTTCTTCACTGTACTCGTGGGTCGAAGGCACCAATACCAACCCACTAGATTGTGTATTATAGTATATAGGATGTCGTTCTACTATATTGATCCATTAGATTTGTATCCTGGTAAATAGGATGTTGCTATGCGGTAGTGATCTGTAAATCTGCTTGTTTGTCTGCTGACTGATTATTTGTTTATCTGTTGCTAGATATATGTTAATTGTTATGTATATGTCGACATTATATGGTGGGGTTGAGACTGTTATGCTTTGTGTTTTCAGTCAACAGACCAGCGCATTCCAACCAAAAGGTTTTGGGTCGGGGGTAATCCAACCGGGAGGTTATGGACCCATTATGTATTGGCAATCCAACCGAAAGGTTTTGGGCCGTGGCATTCCAACCGAAAGGTTGTGGGCCAGGGGTAATCCAACTGAAAGGTTGTGGACCCGATATATGTTTGTGTGACGATACTTTGGGGGAACTCACTAAGCTTTGGCTTACAGTTTCAGTTTATTGTTTCAGGTACTTTAGATGACCGTGGCAAGGCAAAGACGTGATCATGCACATCCTTCAGAGTTTTGTTACTTGGATTTTGGACACTCTGATTATTGAATAACATTTTGAAAACAATGGTTTTGTAAACATTTTTGGATATAGTGATGTTTTTGAAAAAATTAAATTTACTCTGATTTTATTGATGTTACTGTTCCTCGCCTTCCAAAGCACCAAAGCATGTCATAACAGATCAAAGTCAATATGGATTGCTTTTTGGGACAGTGCCCCCATTTGGCTGCAAAGTTTAACAATTCACCCACAATTGAAATATTGACATCACCAACATCACGCCATTTGAAAATGAGAGTTGATTCGTACACAACATTTTTTCCCCATACATAACAATTTGTGCTTTAAAATCTTGTATTCTAAAACTCTATAAAGCATAATATGTTATCTATAGATAAAAATTATTATATACAAATTACTTCCCTTTAAAAATCCAATCTCTGATGATCTTAGCAAAGGACATCCGGTTAAAATAACCTTAATTAACACATTTATTTCATTGTTAGTAATCTTAAGATTGTGACTTGAATGCATATTTCAAAATGGGAGGATTCTTCCACATCAACTTTTAATTTATCCACTTAAATTTATGTACATTACCAACTTTACCCTTATTTAATTCTATAATAATAATTCTATAATTCTACACATGGTAACATCTTTTAAACTATATTTATTTGTCCTACACTTGTGCATGGGCCTCCCTTATAAATCACATAAACTAACTTTGTTCCCTTATTTATCATTCTTTATACCATTCTCATTTTATATTCTCTTTTCTAATATTTAAATTTCGGTTATAAAATGAAAGATTCACCCACATTTTAATAATTAGTTTTTTCTTCTTTAATTATTTTTTTTATAAAACATATTAATAAATACAACTTCAAAGTAATGCTTATCAAATCACAAATAAAATATTGTCCAACAAAAATATCCAAATTGATATATATCAAATTAGGGATGAGCACTTAGTATCAAATCCTGATCTCGTACCGATGCCGAGTTTATACATATGAGACAATACTAGGTACTCCAAAATCACGATATTTTAGATTTCGTACCGTCGGTACCAATGCTAGTACCGAAAACTGGTGTCGGTAATGTTAGTTTGGTTTGGTATTTGGTATCGTTTCTCATCCATTTCGGTACTCGGAATGGTCAGGTTGGTACCGGTTCCGTCTCATACTCATCCATATTTCAAATATATAAACTACTAATATGACATATCAAAGATCTCTTACCGTTAGAGAGTGGGTTGAAGATGAACGATTGAAGTTGTAATATTGTGTGATTTGACATGTATTAATTTGAAATTTTAATCTTTTGTTAAATGGTTGATTATGTAATAATTTTATCTTAAAAAAATAGAGATGATGGTATAAAGAATGATCAAAGAAGCAAAAGAAAAATAAGTATCAAAATAAAAATGATCTTTTAATTCATTAACATGCATCAATTTGAAGTTTTAATCTTTTACTAGATGTAAGACCCATGTATTACATGGGTTAATTAAAAACAATTAAATATAAAGATCTGAATATTTAAGACTTTAGATTTATAAGAAAATAAGAAAAATAATTAATTATCAAAATTGATTTTTTTATCTTTTAAATTTAAATAAATAAACAAAATAAATTAATAAGCTTTAATTTGAGAATTTTAAAATAAGAAGGTAAGTCCATTAATGAAATTGATCTTCATTTATTACTATATTTATTGTAATTATTATATTAAAGTATTATGTGGAATTTATTAAAATAGAAAAACCCATAAAATGACATGTGGAAAAAAATTAATTCAAAATAACCACAAAATGACATTTGACAATTTGAATGAGAGTGTGACATGTGACAAAAAACATTTATTTATTAGAGTAGACTTATTACTACATTTATTGTAATTATTATATTAAAGTATTATGTGAAATTTATTAAAATAGAAAAACTCATGAAATGACATGTGAAAAAAAAAATTAATTCAAAATAACCACAAAATAACATTTGGCAATTTGAATGAGAGTGTGACATGTGGCAAAAAAACTTTCATTTATTAGAGTAGATTTAATTTATTAGTGTAGATTAAATGGCTGGTATAAAGAATGATCAAAGAAGCAAAAGAAAAATAAGTATCAAAATAAAGATGATCTTTTAATTCATAAAAAAAATTAAATAAATAAATAAATTAGTCTACATGATTTTAAATGAGAGGTGCAGGTTTGGGGAAAAAGATCGTTTACAAGATTTTAGAAAGTGTATCTAAATATAGAAACATATTTTAAATCATGGGCAAAATTGACAAATCACATAAATTTCATTGGATGAAGCAAAAGATGCAGTGGAAAAATCAAGCAAAATCGCTAACACCAAATCCATTTGACAAAATAATGGCACTATTAATTGAAATTAAATTGGATTTAATGAGGTTTTAAAATTTCAGACCATTCATCATTGATTCATTGTGACTATGATGGTGGTTAAAATTGCTCCTTTTAGAGCATTATTTGCTTCGTAACCAACATACTAATTATTGAAAATATAAAAAACGACTATAATAACATAGAAAATGTTAACAATTAAACCAATTTATCGTTTGAAAGCTAAATCTAACCATCGTCGAGTTATCTTTCATTTCCATCTTTTCGTTTTTCTTTTAAAGAAAGTGTTGAAGGTTTGTGTACAAAAGAACATTGGCTATGCTTTTATGCTAGGGATTTGTTGAAGGGTTGATGACTTTGGAGGATAATTAGTTTTCCAGTTTGTCCGTATTAGGTCACTAATGCTTTTTTTGTGCGTATATGGTTGTTATTACCGTTTAGAAATAATCATTTTTACCGGTTTCTTCTTGTTTAACCGGTTACAAAGTGAATACATGTTATATACGGGTGTTACGTGGTTATTAGGCCATTATGTGGATTATTAGGTGGCATTTAATGTATATTTCGTCTCCTTAAATTAGGGCAAGACGAATCCCCAATCACTTTCTCTTCACTCTCACTCAATCGTCCCCACCCATTGTTCTTACTTCAATCAATCCACGATCAGATGGCTGAAGATGATACACCGGTCGTTGAAGTCCAGTACAACGAGATGTTCATCAACAAACCATTTATCTATTTTGATCCAGATAAAAAGGAGATAATGTACGTCGATTTCAGGGAGAAGGGGTATGTTGAATTCATTGCTCACCTCAACGTGATTACTAGAAGAATGTGCAAAGATGTATACTATTGTCCAGATGGCCAAACATTGTGTCAAGGATTGACCACATTGTAGAACGAATGTGATTACCATGAATTTCTTGAGTGTCTTCATGAGAAAAAGAAAGTAACTGTGTATGTGGACCATATGCATGAACCCCTGTTTGAGTGGATTGAAATGGAAGAGCTTGAAGTTGAAGATGATACCAACTCCAACGCAGATGAAGATGTTGATTCAATGTTAATAGATAAAGAGTGTTGGGAACACGAGGTGGATGATGAGGATTTTTCAATAAAAAGGGCAACATCAACTATTCAGAAGAAAGAAAGATTTTTGAACAAACTTTTCCCAAATGTTGAAGAGGAAGAAGATTCTAATGTTGAGCAACTACCACCTGTATACCATGTGCACAATTCTGAGCAACAATGGGATGAAATGGCTCCTGTGTTATGTAACATCCTGTTTCGGGTCGTCAGTGGTTAGGGTTCGTGGGCTGCAACCCGGACATGAGGAAGTCTCGGGGTTGCGGCGAGTTGCTAGAAGTGTAAGGCATCTCGTCACCTTTCCGTGGGTATGAGGTTCTTTGGAAACGGAGTCATAACGACGAAGCATTGGAAGTTTGAAGTGTTGGCACGTTAAGTCCCTTCATTTGAGAAAGGTGGCAGCTGAGTACGCTGGGCGTACGTGTGTGTACGCTTAGCGTACTCATGTGCGTGGTTTTTAAGCGGAGCCACCTAGTACGCTAGGCGTACTAGGCACAGAGTGAAAACCCTAATTTTGGGTGTGTCCCTATATAAAGAATGAGATGGCCTCATTCCTGGCCACCACCCTCAGATTTCAAACCCTCCTAAACCCTAAACCTTCATTTATGGAGTTTGTGGATGCATTTGAGAGCCTTTGAGTGTTTTAAGTGTTCTTGTGAGATTTTGGAGTGGAGAAGGAGCATGGAAGAGAATGGAGTTGGAGTCCAGGCTTTGGATCTGAGCTTTTCTGTGGATGGAGCATCATTTAAAGGTATAAAGTTCAAAGCTTTCCCATCCTTTTGATTTGTGCATGTTATGGTCCATTTTAGGGTTTTTGGTCCTAAAGCTTGAAGCTTTATGAGTTGTTGCACTCCAGAGCCTAATGTTTGTCCTTTAGAGTATTTCTAGTGGAGAGAATCCATAAAAATGAGGTCTTGGACGTTGGTATCAAGCCATGCATGAGTTATGAGCTTTTTGAGATAAGAGAGTGGGTGTTTTGTGTGTTTGTGACCATATCAGCCATGCAAAGGCTTAAAGTCACTGACTTTATGGAGTAAGAGCTATTAGGGAGTCCAGATCTGAGAAATGACCTAAGGTCTTAACGGGTTAAGACCAAGAGAATGGACTAAGCAAAACTGGGCGTACGCCCAACGTAATTCTAGTACGCCCCGCGTAGTGGGTTGGTGTCCCCGATCAGATTCGTGCATGCTAGTGTACGCTAAGCGTACCAAAGGTGGTACGCCCCGCGTAACCTCTCTGTGAGCTTTTGGGCTGAATTTATATTTGGGTCTTAAGGGTTGGGCCTTGATTTTTGGGCTTCTGTATTAGTAACTTTGATAAGAGAAATATTATATTGTGCTTCGGGCCCTTGGGTTGGGCTTGCCATTTAGATTGAAAGTTGGGCCTTGGAGAGCCCATTTATTATTGGGCCTGGGTGGGCCCAATGGGTTTTACGCTATTAATGGGCTGGTTAATGGTCTACCCTTAGACCTAATGAGTGAGAGTTTGGACTTAGTTCCTAATTGGGTTAATTGTGGGTTTGGCTCAGAGTTAGAGGCCGGTGTGCAGCAGCAGCGTTTTAGGGGATGTTCTTCATCCGAGGTGAGTCTTCTCACTATACTTACCATGAGTGGTATCCTTGTGTGACTGAGATGTTTTATGTGCTTATTTGTATGTTGTGATATTTTGCGTTATGTCCTTGTGATTTATGCTGAGTATTGTATTTATGAGTTTATTGAGTTAGGACCGGAGGGTCCACCTGAGTTTTGGTTCCACTGAGACACATTGACCGGAGGGTCTTATCTGAGTATAGCCATGAGCGGCTACTGAGATGTGTGCGGTATTTTAGGGAACTCACTAAGCTTCGTGCTTATCGTGTTATGTGTTATGTGTTTCATATTTTTCTCAGGATCGCAGGAAGGCAACGGCTCGATTGTACACACCAGAGAAAGAGTTATGTTTTGAGGATCCTGGATTATTAATCAAACAATTATGGAGATGCGTTTTGTAAACTAAATAAATGAGATTTTGTGAAATGCGTTATGAGAATTATATGAATTTAAAATGAAAAATTTGTCTGGAAATTTACGGTGTTACAAGTTGGTATCAGAGCCTTGGTTTGAGAGATTTGGATGCACCTTCGGGTAAATCTGGACTCAAACTGAGGATTTGAGAAAAAATTTCAAAAGAGATGATTTTTTCTAAAACGAGCAAGAGTTTCTAAGAGAAAAACGAGAAGGAGCAGTGTACAATCAGCCAGAGCCCGAACGGTGATTTCCCAAAATACCCTTACTTAATTGTGTTATGAGTTATTATTGAGATATTAGTGATGCATGCTAGAAGGTAGGCTAGGTATTTCATATTTTAGGGCTAGAGTTGCCTGATTTGTGATGCCTTAGCCTAGAAATTTTTGCTATTTGTTACGTGCTTTGAGTATGTGTTGAGTAAGAGTATCCAGCAGGAATCTTTTTGAGAGAACTTTGGGAAGAGGAGTAATCTAGGTGAGATACCTAGATGAGTATTGGAGGAGCCTACTGACATAGTAGTTAAGTATCCGCGAGGGGGTAGAGTTGCTTGAGTTCGGTGATACTTTTGAGAGTAAGTGGAGTGGTAACCTAGAGTGGTTTTTTGTGTTTGTAGAGATTATTCGATGCCCGAATGCTTCTTGCTTCGTGCTTTGTGGAACTCTTGATGATGGGAGCCAACTACTAAGTGAATATGACGATATTCAGGAGGTAGATGGTTGGCATCATAAAGAGTTCTTCAGCAGCTGATGGCAGAGAAGTGAGGGAACATAGGAAGAGCCTAGGGAGTGGCCTTAGTCATATGAGTACGCTGATAAAGGAGAGCATTCGCTGGGAAGCGACCAGGTTTAGCGGGATTGGTCATCGAGAAGGTTGAGGAGCTACTTAGGAATTCTGGGACGATCCGTGTGGAAAGTACGGGTAGATGTGGCAGATAGTATGGGCCCGTACTACTAAAAGCAGAGGAGCCGTACTCGAAACAGGGAGAATACAAGAGGTTCTAAGTAGCAGATTTAAGAGGAGATAACATGGTTCGAGTACCATGATTTATAGCAGATTGAAGAGGAGATAACATGGTTCGGGTACCATGATTTATAGCAGATTAAAGAGGAGATAACATGGTTCGAGTACCATGATTCATAGCAGATTGAAGAGGAGATAATACGGTTCGGGTACCATGATTCACAGCAGATTGAAGAGGAGATAATACGGTTCGGGTACCATGATTCATAGCAGATTGAGGGGTGATCACATGGTTCGAGTACCATGATTTGTGGCGGTTAGTGCTTCTGGTTTTACCAGTTGTCCCATGGTGGTTGATTAGTCTGAGATCAGGTGATAGAGTGTGGGGCCAAAGGGAAATTGAGTTCGTTTCCGAGAGATTTTATTGGTGAGATGTCAGTTGGAGTCGCAAGGCTCAGGGATGAGTAGAGATGATGCTTTTTGGAGGAACAGGGTTTGAGTCGAGCCATCGGCTGATGGATAAGACGTCATTTTCTGTGAAAAAAGTTGTGTTGTTCCCGTTTCATGGGAGAAGCGAAGGAGATATCGAGTTTCCGATTTCAGATTTTGGAGGTAAACCCCGTGGGGTAGCATTGGTGGTGACTTTTTCATCAGAGTATTTGGGCAGTTTGTCTGTTGTGAGGTATTTCTTGTACCATGGAGTCATTAGTGGAAGTTGTGATGGAAGAGACCCAGGAAGGTGCCTTTTTGAGTGTGGCATGCATTTAGCAGCAGTTTCAGGTGGTTAAGAGGAATACATCGAGGCGGTGGCCCTCGTTGTTATGTTGTGTATCGGTTGTGAGAGTGAGGTCTTATGCTTTGGTGATGATTCCCGTGTTGGGAGGCTGGTCGAGGAGGAAGAGACGAGGTGTGTGATAGTGAATTATTCCCGGATTGAGGGTCAGGATTTTCGGGATAGTTGAGGTGTCCGGCGGTATATCGGTCTGAGATTTCGAGATGACCAAAGGCAGTCGCGCTGGGAGGATTTTGAGATTTTGTCTGAGTTACGGGATATTTGGAGTTGTTTGGTTTCCTTCGGGAAGATCATTGAGTGTTTTCGTGGTATATTCCCCGAGTCAAGTGTAATGTACCTGGTGAGACAGTCCACGGAGTAATTGTTGGTATGCCGTCCGGTAATGGTTCGAACCCTGAGTGGGGGAGAACTGAGTATTCAATTGAGAAGATCAGCAATTCGTTCAAGTACGGTTAGAGAGCTGATTATGGAGATATGCGGTGCGACCACATGAAACCTGGGATATTGGTGGATGCGGCAAGGTGCGAGGCGGGATGATGTGTGAGTATGTGCATAAGGAAGGATGAGTGAATACACGGCAGGTGGCCGTTGGTCAGAGGATTTATTATGGCTAGAGATTTTTTGGGTTTGCAAATATTGAGTTCGAGGCGGACGGGTCGTTGAGTTCAGGGTGCAATAGCTGACATTTGTGGGTATAGGTATAGATTGTAATCTATACTCCAGAAGAGGGCAGCAGTTGGTTTGTCGACCAATTTTAGGGTCGGTATGAGTAGTTCCTATGGGCGATGATCAGTAGAGGGTGGAGCTTCGGATTTTCGTCAACGTGTATTCAGTCATTGACGAATCCTCCGTGTTTCAATTTGGGAGATGGGAGTATTTCAAGGTTTCGAGTTGTGTAAGCGAAAGATCATTGGTAAAGGCAAGACTGCATGAGACGTTGTGATGGTGTACCGAGGTACCCGAGTATGATGTCCTAATTTTGGTATTGTTAGGACTCGAGTTGTGAGATGGCGAGTGGAGTACCGAGTGATTTTGTTCCAGTGGGAACCCATCAGTTAATTGTCGCCTGAGTGAGACTGTCTAAGGGTGTATCTGTGCTGAGACTAGCACCTTGCCTGCAAGAACTTACATCAGAAGTGGTGGTGCATAAGCTGGGTGGGTGTAAACACCTGTCTATGTTGAGCTGCGGAGCATGAGTTGGTGAACTTAGTGTGGTGATGACTTGATGATGAGAATATGGGGGATAAGAGAGCAAGTGATTCGAGTGGGGGTATTCGCTTGGGATTATCAGGAGAACTGTGGAGTGAGCCCATTGTGAGTCAGTGGGAGAGAGTGTCGTGATACTACAGGGAGCCGTAGTGTTCACTGGATAGTGGGAGAGTGTTGTGATACTGCGGGGAGTCGTGGTATTCACTAGTCAGCTAGAGAGTGTCGTGATACTGCGGGGAGCCGTAGTATTCA